GTCTCCAGAACCACTTTGATGAACCAGATCAAAATTCTGCTCAAAAAATAAGAGACTGGTCTGGAATGACACGTTCTTAGTGAAGCCATGGCAGCTCCTAGTGATCCCCAGGTCCTTAAGTGCTCACAAACCATGTTTAAAAATTACTCTAAAATTTTGGGAAGAGTTGAATCACCAGACCATAGTTTCAGATCTATAGTTTCTCCCTCTTTTTTGAAGACCAGGCCAGGTCATTTACCTCCTCCAGCTTTATAGCACCTTTTGTAATTATTAAATGAGGTTCAGATATCACTTCTTCAAGTCCTTTTAGGTGCCTGCAGTACAGTTCATGCAGTCTATGATACAGTGGAAGTAGTGCTTCTAGATTTGGAGTTTTAGCACCTATGTTTAAGTCCCAGCTCTGCCACCCACATGACTCATCAGTAAAAATGAGAGGGGTGGAGTCAATGATCTCAAAGGTCCCGCCAGCTCTAAACTGATGCACCCAAGTCTTAGACTTGTTTACAGAAGTGGGTATGTACTCTCACCATTGCATCTTAGTTTAATTTTTCCAGTCTGAAGGTCATGCTCCTTCCCAGAAGAGACTCACGGATTTTCAGTGTTAGAGGGCCCTTACCTATAACTGAACAGGAATCCCCTCTCCAATATACTCAATAAGTGGTCATCCAACCTTTGCTTACAGACTTCTAAGCAAAAAAAATTCCTGACCTCTCAAAGCAGCCCATTCCACTTCGGGATGACTAACTGTTAGGAAATTTTCCTTTATATCAAGCCTAATTTTGCCTCCCCACAGCTTCCATTCACTGCTCCTAGTGCTGTCCTCTAGGGACAAAAAAAAAAGGGCAAAAAAAAGCAAGCACCATCAATCCCCCTCTTCTCTGTGGCAGGCCTTCAAATACATGAAGCTTGCTGTGATGCTCCCCCCTGGGCTTTCTCCTAATTTCTTAGGCATGATCTAGAAGTCTCATCATCCTGGCTGGCCTCCTCTGGACACTCTCCAGTTTATCAATGTCCTTGCTGAGATGTGGTAGGAGTCAGGGTGGTACAGCTGAGGCAGAGGGCTTGGGTGCAAATCCCAGCTCTGCTACTCACAAGCATGTGACCTCGGGCAGTTTGCTTAACCAATCTGAGGGGGCTGGATGAGATAACTTCTAAGCTTCCTTCTGGCTCTAAACATGGGATCCTAGAGTACCCAGAACGAAACACGCCTCTTCAGATGTGGTCTGGCCAGGGCACAGGATGGTGGGACCGCTGCTTCCCACACTGCACACCATGCCCTCTTCATGCAGTCTATTATTGCATGAGACCTTTCGGCTGCTGTATCACTCTGCTGACTCACACCGATGCGGCTGTCTACTAAAACCCGTTCACAAGTGAAATACTGCCCAGTAATGCCTACCTTATCCTACATTGGTAAAGCTGATTTTCTGAACCAAGTTTAGGACTTAGGTCACATCTGTTTCCATAAAATTTAATCTTCACATTTTTGGCATTACATTTCCACTTATTAAGACCTTTCTGAATCTTAATTCTGTTATCTGATGTGTTAGTTATTCCTTTCAACTTAGTGTCTGCATATTTGATCAGCATAATAATAAAAGTAACTAGCCTTTACATAGCACTTTAATATTTGCAAAATACTTTAAAAATATTATCTCATTTGATTTTCACAATAACCTTGAGAGGTAGGTGCAATTATTATCCCCCGTTGAGGAAACTGAGGCAAACAGGGTTAAGTGATTTGCCCATGGTCACAGAGCTGGGAAGTATCTGAGGCTGGATTTGAAATCAGGTCTTCCTGACTTTAGAGGCAGTTAGGTGGCTAAGTGGATAGAAATCCGAGCTCACATCTGGCCTCAAACACTAACTGCGTGAGCCTGGGCAAGTCATCTAACCCTGTTTACCTCAGTTTCCTCATCTGTAAAATAAGCTGGAGGAGGAAATGCAAACCAATCCAGTATCTTTGCCAAGAAAACCCCAAATGGAGTCCTGAAGAATCAGACACAATTGAAACAACGGAACAACAAACTTCCTGACTTTGGGTCCAGCCCTCTGAACACAGCACTGACTAAGCACTGTCTTGCCTAAAGGTGCTTGCTTATTATCTCCCCCAATTTGGGGGAACCACTTCTCCACCACATTTTGTTTTTTTGTTTCATCATGTCTAGTCCAAGAATCACCCACCTCAACAGTCAAAATAGAAGAAAAATAAGACAAACAGCTCCACCATCTCTTAGTATCCATTACTCTGCCTGCAGCAACTCCCAACACCTTTTTTTTTCAGTCTTTTTGTCCCTAAATATGACTGAATCCCTTTTGTCGTCCCCTTGATTCACAACCTTGGCTCACTCTGAGCACACCGAATATAGCTCTGGGAGGACTGGCCGAGGAGGAGCAGAACTGCTGTTCATTCTCGGCTCACATCATCCCCCTAAAATCCTTCTGCAAGGCTCCATCACAGTGTGGAGAGGACTCTGCATCCTCCAAGTCAAGTAGGCAGTCGAGAAGCCATACTGGCAGGTTCTACTAACCTAAAAAGGCTTCTAATATGGGGCCAGTGAGGAAAACTAGATGGTTGTTGTCTGAGGACTAATCCAGGTCAAGGAAAAATTGACGAGATTCTTAGATCAAAGAGAAGTTCAGGACTCTCCCAATGAGAAGTCAGAACATGGGCACAAAATCCAAATAAATGATACATTTTCTGAAAATGTCTCATTTTCATGGTGTAACAAATAACCTTTCCTAATTATATGGGATCAATGACTAGAAATGATAGCAGCTTAACAGATTCAGATTAATATATATTTCTTTGCGTATGAAGAGTACACTGTCCCATAAGACAATACTAGTCAACAACCCCAATTCATTGCTTCATGACATACCATGAACTTTAGGTCAAGCCAAGGAATGCAATAACCCATTTAGAGGTCGGAATACTGGCATTAACTCACTGTCAAACAAAAGTTCTCTTTTTGGGCTATTTAAATCATGTCACCAAAGACACTCTTTATCTTGGTGACTTCAAATCAGCTGCTCACTGCCTTGGGGAAGAAAACTTTTTAAAACGAAAATTTTAAATATGATTTGGAATATCTCTGGATTTGTAATAAATCCAATCCTTTACATGAAAACTGAAAGTAAAAAGTTCAGGGAAGGAAATATAATCACCTGTATAATGAAATCTGCTAATAACTTTTTTAAAAATTAAAATCACCAAAAACACAAGAAAACTTAAGAATAACCATACCTACTTTAAGAATCTTAAATTCAATAACAGGCAGAAAACATATTCACTGAAATAAATAAAATAACCTTTGTTAGGAAAATTCCTGCCTAAGTCCATGAGACTATGACAATTGCAGGGCCTTTTTTACAAAGCAAGTTAGCCAAAGATCCAAAACTACCAGCTGGTTTTTTTGTGTAGGTTTGGAAAACCAGAGGCTAAGTATAAAAACTAACTTGATAGGAAGTCTACATAGAAAACAAAGTTTATTTTCTCCTTTCTTCAGCATGGTGGAGCTTCCATGAGAAGCTATGGGATGCATTCAATTAAGATCATGGTCAACCTAGAGCATTTTATACAAAGAGCTTTCTTTTTAAGCTGTACCATTATATAAAAATAGATGACAATCTGTAGGTCATTCTAAATAAGACAGGGGCTTTGAAATGCCTTCTTTTAGACTTTGCTACCTCCCAAATAAACTTTGGAATTTACTGTATATAAAAGGGAAAAGAGTTAAATTTATAGGGTCAAAGTTCCTATTTAATGAAAAAGAACAATCTTTAAATGAGATGCATTTTTACTTCAAATCAGTCTAAGTGGTGAAACCTCTTTCCAATTTCCCATCTGTAAGGGGTACCACCATTAGTCATCTTTGATTATTCTATCTCCTTCATTGCCTCTAACCCATGTGTCATCAAGGTCTTCTGGCTTTTTTCTTTCAGATGTCTTTTGGATTTGCTCCTCACCTCTCTATTCTCACTCCCATCCCTTGTCCATACTATTACTGCAATGGTCTCCCAGCCACTTTTCCTGACTACCATCTCTCTTTCTCTGAACTCAGTAGGTAGAGTCGAGGAAGGAAGGCATTCCAAGCATTGGGGACAGCCAAGGAGAATGCCTGGAGCGTAGAGATGGAGCATCTTGTTTGTGATCTGCAAGAAGGTCACTGGATCAAAGAGTACATGTCAGGGAGCAAGGTGTAAGAAGATAGGAGAGCTAGTAGGGGCTAGATCATGAAGGGATCTGAATGCCAAACAGAGCACTTTGTATTTTATCCTGGAGGCAGTAGGGTGCCACTGGAGTTTATTGAGTAGGGGAGTAACATGGCTGGATGTGAGCTTTAGGAAAATCACTTTGGTGACTGAATGGAGATAGACTGGAACAGGGAGAGACCTGAAGCAGGCAGACCCACCAGGAAGCGATTTGCTTTCGTCATTTCATTCTTTTGCCTCTTATATAAAGTCCAAACCCTACTTCCTTTCAAGGTCCTTCAGAATCTGGCTCCATATTACATGGCACTTCCTCCTACTACTTCTCAACATGCATCTTTCTTATTCATTTGGCTCAGACTACTCACTCATACAATATTCATTCCTGTCTTTGTTCATCACATAAACACTCCTAGAAAAATCCTTCCTTATTCCTCTCCAAATGCCCGTCATCCAAGGCTGGTCTTTTATCAGTGAAGATATCAGTCATCTTATCTTAGAGGTGAAGCTCAGCTCAAGTCCCACTTTGTAGCAATGACCTTTCCCTGACAATTTTTCTCTTCTCTCAGCTTCTACTGTCAAAACATAGCTCCGCACACAACTGCATAACATACCTTGCGCTGTTTTCTAATTGTGTCATACGTTTTTATCTTGTCTCCTCAAATGAACTGTATTCCTTGAGTGCTGGAACTACATCTTACATTTCTTTTACATCTCCCATAGCATCTAGCATGAGTTAAGCACATATTAAATCTTCACCAAATACAGGCCAATTGGCAGACAGATACCTGGAGAGCAGCAGAATGATCATTTTGGCAGGCCAGCTCTTGCTCAACCTCTGAAACCTCCAGCAGGTTCCTCTCACTGACCAGCCGAGACAACTCCCCGACCACAGTCACATGCTTTGACACAGTCCCAGACATCTTCTTGAACTGTGGATAATTCTCCACAAAGGCCTGTCAGAGAAAAAATTGGTGGGAGATTCTGAGTCATCATTTCTCAGCAGAGGATGAGCGAAAACAACAAGACAATCTCTACCCACCCCTGCTGACCAGAATGAGATTTCTACAGCTCATTTTGTGATGCATCAAAACAGAAGAGCTGTTAGGTCTTGAAATAATGAAGAGCTTTAGAACAGGGCAAACACAACTGATGGGCACAATGGGTACTAAAGAAACTAGGACTTAACTGAAAAAAGAGATCTCAGAAAATACGTCTCAAAAAAAGACAGGCCAAACAGGTGACTTAAAAGCTATGCACAAAAAAGATTCTGGGTTCTTCCAACCCATGCCAGAACACTTATAAACTGTAACCATCTCCATAGCAACCCATTAGTCACACATGCTTAATTTACCTTCATATCCGCTATCGATTCTAATTTTTGTTGTTCTTTTGGTTTCTTTTTTTGGAAGTCTTCCATGAGATTCTTGATGTTGCTGCCAATCTCAGCAAAATTCAGGTACATGTTCTGTGTAAAAGAAAGGAAGAACCATGGCTTGGTAACACATGGTCTGACTACCCTACGGTTTAAATTAGACCTGACCAAGAATCCCCTACATAGCTGGAAATGAAGGGAAAACAGAATGCTACCACAACTACCCAATTATAATTATCTTAGGCCAAGATAGTCAAGGCCAATACCTCTACTATTCTCTCAAAGTGCTATTGGATCATGAGGGTCAATATCAATATGGTATATAATGGTACTGAATTCACATTGCTTAATGTAAAATTGATTTTTCACAGCGAGTATTATTTCTCTGATATTTTACTCAATATTAAGTATGCAGATGATTATCCAAGAAATGATATTAAGAGGTCAGAATGAAAGTTCTAGGTTTCCTCTAGAGATGCTGATCACAAACACAGACGGACACATATTTGTGTTTATTTATATATATATATATGTATGTATATAAACACATATAATATTTATACACATATATGTAGCTGGATGGCAGATAACATCTATTTATCCTTTCATATCAAACCCCGCCTACTTCTACTAATCCCTACCCCACCAATCCAACAATACCCTCTTTGTAATTAAAAAACCACCTACATTGGCATAGAATTCATCATTGTCAGCAGATAAGACCACCTCTCTCAGGTCTTTACTGATCCCTGGTACTCGAGAAAGGTCAATCCGATTGTTGTTTATGCCCAGCAGTTCATGGACCATGGCCTGATATGTCCACTAAATAAAAGGTGTACAACAAGAAAATAGGTAACTACGATAAACCAAAGATATTTTTAAAATGTAGCCAACTCAATGGGGCCTTAAAAAACAATTCACTTAGAACCTTAAGTATATGTAACTTGTCTATTCAGGTTAACCAGTACTAACAATTAATGAACATCCGCAGTCACTTAAATTGGTAAAACACTGAAAATTCAAAGTGCCTTTATAGTTTATATTTTACATTTCTGGAAGAAGGGCGACAAAGATTAGCCTCTCTGATAGAAAATAAATGCAATCTCTATCATGAGCTCCAAATCTTTGCTTGCAAATTATGCATCTATTTTTGTTTCACAGACAGAGCTATCCCGGTCCTGCAGTCACAAGCTGTACCATTTCCTGTGAGCTTTTGTGGTTTTCTGCCGCACGAGGAGTGTGCTCTTGCAGATCTGTGCGGTGCTATATTTATCTTGGGAACACTAATATTATCAGAAGGAAGCTCGTGAGTGGATCAAAACACTGGCATACTCGGAAGCTTGCCTTTGCATACATTTTCTTTTACATTTCTGCTCAATTTGAATTGAGAAGAAAACTCAAATGCTTATAGAATGTGAATTTTTCTGGTAAAATTGGTCAGAACCCCTACTCGTTTTTGGTATTATTGTTATTTGCAGACAGCAAATTATTGCCCATGAAAAATATATAAGCTCACCAGAAAAAGTGTTTGTTCATCACCTCTCCTAGTTATGGATATGTAAGGGAGCACCCAAACTTTGTACAAGTCTTTCCTTGCATTTCATATTACAGTGAGGGTTCCAATTAGCGTGAATAATGAATTGCGTGAAGTGGTTGAATTATTCTAATTTGCACCACAGATTTCCGCTGGGCTCGGGTCAATGACAACATTTTATATAATTACAACTCTGAATAGTGCAAATCTGAATTCATACAACCACTTCAGGGCATTCATTATTCCCACTAATCAAGGCCCAGCTACATATTTCAAATATAACAAATATAAAAGGCCTGTAGATTAAATTTTAAATCTTGATCCACTAGAAAGTGCTATTCAGGTATACTTCACTTTAAGCAAAACTAATGTATGAAAATCTAGACTTACCAAAAATAAATTAGGAGTTGATTAATCACATGCACTCAGGAAACTTTTTTGAAAGGAATCTTATGGCTAGATATTCTTTAATAAAACTAAGAACGCTTTTGTAAAGTGTCTGAATCATTTATAATAATTTGATTTGTACACAATAATTCAATCACATAAAGCAATGTGAATTTGCACTATAGATAAGTTTTACTGTACACAGCAATGGATTCGTGATTTTATGGGGTGGAAATTTCCTCCTTAGATATAAATCCCAATTCCACCATGTGCCTTCATCATAGCGGTGCTTATACATTTCTTTCTGAAAAGACACTAGAAACTTTCCTGTATTTCTTTTAACATCTTATGGATGCCAATGTAACAACACTCATGCTGTCCATATGTTATCTGTCACTCTTCTTAGAAGAGCAGCTCATTTCCTTTTCTAGGTAAAGACATCATTGATGATGGCTTTTTCACCATTTCTTACAGGTAAGTCATAGCTGGCAGGATACTTACACCCACTATGTGTCTTTCCATTGCTCACCGGGTGACCTGTAATTGTTTCTTTGGAAAATGGTATTCCATTATTTGCAGCCATTCAGCATTATAAAAAGAATAAATATTGGGTTTTTTAAAAAATAAGCTTTTGTGGCAATGAGCAGTATGGAATCACCAAAAACCCTGTATAATTTCCTCAATTACAACCCAGCCTGACCTCTTTTGATCAATTTTGGAACTGGTTCACCATTCCTCAAAAGCACCTATTTAATACATGTGTACTGGCAGACTAAGTCAATGGGTTGCCTGTTCAATTGAACGCCATAATATGGTCAACAACCAAGCTGATCTCTGTGGAAGGACCTCTGATCTCATTTGGAACATTCTGGAGCTGGATGTTATCAGCACAGTATGTTTTTTTTTTAAGTTAATGAATTTTTAGTTTTCAACAATCACTTCCATAAGCTTTTAAGTTTTAAATTTTCTCCTCCTTCCTTCCTGCCTCCCTTCCCAAGATGGCACACAATCTAATATAGGCTCTACATATTCCTATTAAAATATTAAAATTAAAAATTATTATTACTATTAAATATTTCCTATTTCTATTCCTATTAAAAATATTTTCAACATTCCTATTAAATATATTTTCAGCCCAGTATGTTAAAGAGGAACTTCGGCAGAACCTCTCTTTCAAAAGGGTCTCCCTCTTCCATTCCAACTTTGCGCAGGATAGACTGTGACCCAAGAAACAAATTTTACTTTACAGCTATAAATTCTCCCTTGATATTATTATAAAATAGGAATAAAGTGAGAGGTTATGCCTTTGATGTCAAACTAAAAGTGGTGTCAAGACACAGAAGAAAAGGATGGCTAAGAATAAGGTGGCAAAAAATGGGTCCCTACATCTACTCTTTATTTCCACCATCACATGCTGTTGCCATAAAGGTCAAATGCTCTGATTCTTCTCTTCATGTACGCCTACAAAGGCCATGGCACCTGGTTCAGCAGTGGAGTTATGGCGTCATCACAGCGATCCAAAATGAGCAGCAACGGAGGGACTTCAGTTCTCCGGAACTCAAAAAGCTCATACTCTTTAGTTATCACTTGCTGTGAGCGAGAAAATGAAAGTCTGGTCACAAAATGGCTACAGAGGGAGACAATGTAAATAGGAAAGGTGTGAATAAAGAGCACAGTGATGTGACTAAATGCTGATTGCGCTGGCATAGGCCTTTCATAAAGTTATTCATAAGCTCCTTATAAAGTGAATTTAGTAGCAACCTATTCACATGAAATTGGAATGAAAATCCTTGATATAGGTAGTTAAACTGAGATACAAAGGAGTTATATAACTTGTATACTGTCAGCAGAACTAGGGACAGAACCCAAGAATTTTAATTCTTAGCCTCTTAGTTTCAGTCCCTTAACTTGGAACACATTACGATCTAGACTGCTTAGCTATTGAATCTAGGTCATATTTTTAGTGAGTGTTTGGAAGTGGTATCACTTAAGCCTTCACTCTAAAAATCTATTTCTTAAATATGAAAAGGGGTTTGAAAGAATCCCCTCAAAATCATATTCTGTCAACAGCTGAAGAGCCTAGAAAAAGGATGATCAGGCACAGTACTGAGCATGTCTCACCTTCACACATTCAGCAAGTCTTTTTGCTGAGTCTGATGAAAGCTGGTAACGTATCATGGGACATTTCTTCAGGGATAACAGAAGAGCTGTCAGTCCTTGGGTTGTCCTAGATAGCTGGGCCGGATCCCAATTTCGACCCTGCAGGTTAAGATGATAAGCCCAAAAAAGTCATTTTCATGCCTTACGTGCCTAATTTCTAGCTCTAATAATTCTCATCAGGTAAAATAACTGCAGTATATGCCCTTTTTCATACCTGGCAACAACCCAAGATGTTGAGGGAAAACAAATGTGGATTCACAGCAATGTAATCACCATAAAACTCCTGCAAATAAAGAGCACCAACATCAGTCTTCACACCGACATGTCTTTATCTTATAGAAACATACACGGTATAACAAGAAAACGTTTGCTCAAAGGCACAAACACAGATTATATCAATTCAATATATAGTAAGAGTCTGTTATGTTGAAGACATTACTCTCTGTGCTGGCAATACAAAAATAAAACCATCCCTGGCCCCAGGAGCTTACATCCTACTCAAATAATGAACTGACCTTCCTCAGGGAATAGCAGTTAATAAGAACAGAAGAAGTAGTGAGGGATGTGGCATGACGCTGTACACAGAGTAGGCCGTGGAGTCGAGAAGACGTTTGGCTCCAAGTCCTACCATGGACAGATAATGACCACCCGACCACGGACAAGCTGCTTAACTTCTCGGTGACCCCAAGCACTCTATCAATCAACAAGTCCTTATTAAATGTTTACTACGCCCCAGGCCCTATGCTAGAGGCTGTGATCACAAAGACAAAATCTAAACAGTCTCTGCTCTTAAGGAGTTTCAATTCCACAGGAAATTATAATATATACAAAACACATAAGATACAAATATGTTAGTTTCTAGGTTTGGTCAGTTGACAAGCATTTACTAAGTGCTTGCTATTTGCCAGGTATAGTGCCAAGCACTGGGAATACAAAAACAAGTGAAAACAGTGCCTGCCTTTGAGGAGCTCACAATGTCATGGGGGACACAAACAGGACAAAAACGAGGTACACAGAAGATGTACACAAAACAGATGTAAAGTAAGGGGAAGGCACTAGCAGCCATGGGGACTAGGAAACAAGAAGCCGGGATCAGAGGCGTCTCGAAGGAAATCAGGGAAATTAAGAGGCAGAGGATGGAAAGGTGAGCATTCTAGGCACGGCAGATGGTCAGCGTGACTGAACTGCAGAACTGGTCGAGCCAAGGAAAGTGGAAGAACTCTGGAAAGGCAACGAAGGCCCAGGTTGTGAGGAACTTTAAATGCCAAACAGAGAAGTTTATATTTTATCTGAGAGGAACCAGGGAGCACATGGAGTTTTCTAAAGGGTGTGTGTGTATGTGTGTGCAAATGGTCAAACCTACATTTTAGCAAGATCACTCTGGCAGCTCAGCGGGGAATAGACTGGAGTGGGGATGTTCGTGGGGCTGGAAGATCAATGAGAAGGCTAAGAGAGGGGATGCACCTGAATTAGGGTGGTGGCAGTATGATTGTAGATAAAGGGATATAACCAAAAGATAGAGTGAAGTTAGAAATGACAAGATTTGGTCACAGACTGGATAAATATAGGGTGAATGATAGCAAGGAGTTGAGGCTTTGAACCTTGGTGACTGGGAGGATGAGGGTACCCTCAACAAGAGGGAAGTTCAGAGGAGAAGAGGGGAAAGATAATGATTTCTGTTGTGAAAATGCTAAGTTTGGGAAGCCTATAAGGACATCTAGTTTGAGATGTCCAAAAGGCAACTGGTGACTCAAGCTCAGGGGAGAGACTAGGCTGGATATATAAATCTAAGAATTATTCATATGGAAATGATCATTGAACTCACAAGAACTTATAAGATAACCAAATGCCATAGAATAGAGGCAGAAGACAGCTCAGGAAAGAGCCTCTAGAGATATATACCATTAACAGGTATGACCTGAATGAAGATCCAGCAAGGTAGACTGGGAAGGAGCAGTCAGACAGACAGAAGGAGATCAGAAGAGAGCAGTGTCATGAAAACTTAGATAGGGAAGCATACACAGGAAAAATGATGATCAACAGAATTCAATGCTGTAGAGAGGTCAAGAAGGATGAGGATTGAGAAATGGCCAAGATTTGGTGATTAAGAGAACATTTGTAACTTTGGAGATATCATTTCACTTGAATGATGAGATCAGAAGCCAAATCACAGAGGCTTTAGAAGACAGTGGGGGGAAGGAAGTAGAGGCATCTAGTGTAGATGGCTTTCTCAAGGAGTTTGGCCAAGAAGGGAAGGAGAAGATGACAGCTAGTGGGAATGGGCCAATCAAGTAAAGATTTTTTTTAAAGAATGGAAGAGACATGGATATGTCTGTAGACAGCAGGGAAGGAGTTAGAAGACAGTGAGGGAATGAAAATTAGAAAGAGTGGGGATGATAGGAGGGCAATCTGTAGAAAAGGGGATAGGATCAAGCATGCATGCACAGTAGCAGGTATCATCAGAAAGCTGTGGGGCCTGGAAAAGGCTTCACATTTAAGCTAAACTTTGAAGAAAATTACGGACTCCAAGAGACAGAGGTGTAGAGGGAGTAGACTGTAAGTTTCAGCTAAGTTGATGGTATCAGCAGAGGAAGGAGTTTCCATACCAGGAGTTCTTCACACTGATGAAATCATAGGCAGAAAGAGACAGAGACACACACACACACCCCCTCCACCCCCACAGTAGTAGTTGTAGCAGTAGCAGCAACAGTAATGTCTTCCATACATTAAAGCTAAGTAGAGACTAAACTGAGCAATGATGTGCCTACGTAAAAATGATTTTTCCATTGAACATACTATTTTCAAAGCGTAAAAATACAAGCAATTAAATAAGCTGTTCAATCTATCAGATAAAAAAAGAACAATGCAATCCAGTGCATCCTCTTGGGGGGAGGGGAGTGATTACTATATTTAAAATAGGTCAATCTCCATAGTCATTTATTAAATCATTATGCTCTTCTGAAAAAAAATAAGCCACTTTTCTGCCTTTAAGGTACAACATTCTTCCCAGTGTGCACATATCATAGCCTTATTCAAGGATGCAATACTACCTGGGGAGAACAATGCCATGGTGCTGTTCTACAGTGGTGCATTATACAGCTGTGTTATCAGTGTTTAGGAGTCTCAAGGCTTTGGTCCAGTTATGAGAGGTCCATTTTCCTACCTGTTCATTATCTTGTAATGTATAGGGGGGGAAAAGTTCTTTAAGAAAACATTAAAGATATGTCAGGGAACCACGATGTTTACCTGAACCTCAGCCACAACTTCCTGTTCATCAGCCTCAGCCAATGACTTCACATCACTCTTGCTGATCACGTTACTGAAATCTGAAACAGACACATGAGCTTCAGGAGACTCAGAGGAGATCCACTCTGCAGCAATTAGGCACAAATGAAACTGGCAGTTAGTGCTTAATGAACGAACAAGGTTGGGTATGCATATATGCCAAAGTCAAAAGTCCTAAAACTGGGATGGGGACATAGCCATCTTAGTAGGGAGGATACAATTGATGGGGAAATGTATCATGATTAAAACATTAAATATAAATATTGTGATTTAAATAGACTTTAGGCTAATAAAATGTTTGGTATGACCGCCTCACACTAAATTTAATGTAGTTAATCTTTGATTGGATATTAACCAACGATGTGCTAAGTACTGAAGAAATAAGCAGGCCTACTTCTTGCTCCATATACTCATGGTCTAAATCAGACAAACCCACAGAATTGAAATAAGGTGAGAACAACTCTAAACACAGCAAAATAAATATTAGACTTACAGCTCTGTCTCAACCCAAGCATGAGGGAACTCTCCCCAGAGGAAAAAGGGGAATTTCCTCTCAGGACCCATTCAATTCTTGACCTCAAGGCAGAGGCTTACTGCCAGGAGACAAAGCAAACGAATGGTTCCATTACACACACAGGCTTAGGTGTGAGAGGTCCAGGGAATCGCTGCACAATGTGGGTGAAGCACCAGGGAAGAAAACGACCACCAAATCCTCTGAACCTGAGCAGCCTGGAACATTATGGGACGACAGTGTATAGTGAGTAAACTTGCTGCTATTCTTCTGAAGGATGGTTTACTTTACGAAAGCAAGATTTCATTTGTAATAACAATGCGCAGGTATATAACTGTTAAACTGCAGGCTGGGGACCAAATAACTGAAGTCCCTACGGCCTCTAATACTGTTCTGACATCCCAAATTATTAAGCTTGAAAACTTGCTAAACAGAGCTTTCCAAAGGGTCACATTTCATTCCTCCCCTTTCGAACCTGCTCTGCTAGATTCCTTTCCTCCTACTGTACAGATCAACTGTGACATCTAGAGGCGAGAAGATGTAATTCAATTCAGCTTTATCAAGTGCCTACTATGTGTCTAAAGTGCCGTTCTAAGGCCTGGGAATACAAAAACAACCACTTACTTTCAAGGAGCTAATTCTCCTTGGGGAGAGGGGGATATAACAGCTACACAGAGAAGCAAGTGTAGAAGAAATCTAGCACTAACAGTGGGGGAGGAAGGGAGAGGCTTTGTGTAAGCATCACTTGAGCTAAAGGCGAAGGAAGATAAGGATTCTAAGGGCAGAGGGCGGGGAAGGCAGGCGTTCCGGGTGCACCATCCAAAGGCACTGAGATGGAAGATGGACTGACGAGTCTTAAGAACACAGCAGTTAGGCTTATCACAGAGCCACTGGAGGGAGTCACAGAATTATAAAATACATACGGAAAGGTAGGTCCCACTGCGAAGGGGTCTTTAAAAAAAATTTATTGATAGCTTTTGTTTTTCATACTGTAATCATTTCCTGATAGCTGCAGGCCGATGCCTACATTCGAACCTCTCTTGTACACGACACATACAGAGCTCACCACCTCTCAAGGGAGAAAAGGGAAGTAAGTTCTGTCGTCCATTCTACTGGACTGTTTGGTCATTGCAATTATTCAGTCCTACTACTTCGGTATTGTTTTTGCTTACATTACTTCAGAACTGTGCCTGCTGCTTTCCTGTTTCTGCTTTCTTTGCTCTGTGTCAGTTATTCGAGGTTACATTAACGTCAGGCTGAGGAGTCTGAATGTTGTTATTCTAGAGACAGTAGGGAGACACTGAGCATTTTTGAATGGCCAGCCCTACAAGTTTGGAAATATTACCTTGTCAGCTCTGTGGCAGACATAGTGCAGAAAGTGAGAGCCTGGAAACAAGTAGACCGATTCAGGTTATTTTAGCGGTCCAGATAAGGAGCGGCCAGGGCCTGAACTAGAGTAGAGTTTTGTTAAGAGAAGGGGATAGATGTTGGAAGGATATAATCCGCAAGGCTTGGTAACTGATTAGCTATGAGGGGTGAGGGAAGAGTCAAGAATGACTCCAAGGCTGTGAACCTTGGTGCCTAGAAGGACAGGAGCATCCTCAAAAGAAACAGAGGTATTTGGAGGAAGCCTGAATAAGAAGAAAAGAGAATAAGTTACATGATTTTTGATTTTGAGTTTGAGACACCAATGAATTAGTTGTTGGAATTGAAGATTAAAAAAAAAAAGGAGGGGGACTGGATATATAGATTTGAAAATTATCTTGAGAGACATAGTAATTAAACCCTTGGGTGCTGAAAAGCTCATTAAAAGAGATAGAGACAGGGAAGTGCAGAGGGCCTAGGTTCACATCCCTTTAGGGGATTCATATGCTTAGGGAATGGAAGATGGATGGTGACTGAGCACAGAAGACTGAGGAGTAGTAAGACAGAAAGGAAGACACTCAAAAGAGAAAAGTGTTTTGGAAACCAAGAAAAGAGAGAGTACAGAGAGGAAGAGTTGACCAATGGTGTCAAATGCGGAGAGGTCAAAGAGGACTGGGACTAAAAACAAGCCATCAGATTTAGCAGTTATGGGATCATTAACAATCTTGAAGAGAGCTATTTGGTGTTGGAAGTTATAATACAAATGGGTGAGGAACGAAGGGGAGGTGAACACATAGAAGCAAGGAGTGGAGAACACTGCTTCCTTGTCTAGCATTGAAAGGGAAGAAAATGACAAGAGGATAACTTTGGCTTTGGCAGGGACAAGTGGAAGTTTACAGATAGGGAGATACAGGCGTATTATAGGAAGAGGTAAGGATCTTGTGGATAAGGAAAGGTTAAAGATGGAAAAGAGAATGCTCAAGAGGACAAGTGGCCATGGGAGGTGGGAAAGGATGGGCTCAAGAACCCAAGTGGAGGTGTTGGCCTTTGCAAGGAGAAGGGCCACTTCTTCCTCAGAGACTCTGCACTGAGAACCAGAAACAAGAGCTCATGGAGCTGCCAAACTCTCCAAGGAAATGAAAAATGCCTCACAGTGTACTTTGTTTTGCAATAATCATACCTCAGATAAGTTTTAATGGTTATGATTATCGCCAGTCCTTTGCAGACAGAAGAATCTGAATAAATCCTCTATAACAATTCTGACTTAGATCCATACCTAATAATTGCTCAATGTTGGGCTCTTATGATATGTGTGATGATAAATTTATAAATCCAGCTCACAGAGAGAAAAAACAAGGGTAGAAGAATTGGTTTTAGCCTTGTGGGCAAAGTCATTAAACATGCACTTTTCTTACTATGATGTTTACCAATACCAAACAACAACATCCCACCCAAAACCTTTTATTTATTTACATATATTGGTGGGGGAGGCACTTGAGGCTGGAGGTACAAGAATCAGAAAAGACCTCATGTAAGAGGTAGCATGTGGGATGAGCTCTGAAGGAAACTAGCAAAACTACTTATCCAAACAATTCCACCTCTATAGACCTAATCTTGTATCTCACCCAGGGGCCTAGCACAGTGCCTGCCATATGATGGGCTATGTTTTTTGAATGGAGCAAAAGGGCAAAGCAGGATATGAAAAAAATTGCCCTATATTTTGCTGCACTTTTTCCTCTTATCCCGCAATAAGGAAGGGACATCTGTGCCTTAGTTTATAAAAGCATAATGCAGCTATCTTTCTGATCAGAGGCATAAAATGTGACCATCTGCACGTTTTGAAATTTGAAAATCCCTGAAAAAAAGCAATAAAAAACTTATTTTTGATACTACCATTTCTTTTCTTAAATGTCAATAACTTATGGTAATTATATTCAACTCTCTATGCTGGGAAAATGGCTACCTGAACTTTCAATACTTGAATATAGGGCAACAAAAGAGAAAAAACCAAGCATAGATATGTTTTGATGATCCTCTAACAAAAAAAAAATTAGCTTATATGGAAGCAAATGCACCAAAAAGAAAATTATATACTTACAAATAAAATACACACTATATTTCGGTCTTCGGAGCTCTTGAATTAGGTAATCCACATTTTCCTTGTCAAAAAAACAGTGTTAGAGTAAAGACTTCAGTAAATAAATAATAGTAATGATAACCCATTAATTGACTCATTCAATTATTCATTAAGCGTTTACTGTGTGCCTGTGCTGATATTAGGTGCAAAGAGAGACATGAAGAGTTTTGTAACACGGGAAGAAAAGATATGTTTGTTTTTTAAAGGCCAAGAGGCCAGAATGATGATAGCCCGTCTCAAATAGTAATCCAAATATATCTTGACTCCTATTTATATTCTCTGTATTGTGTTCAGACTTGAATATAAAAATCTGCATAAGCCTGAGCATAAGCTCAATGTACATAGTACCTTTGTCGGGCGAAGAAAACAAATGGCTTTCAGGTGTTTCATGGTCTCTCGATTCAGAGAATCAATCCGTTCAAAAAGGTACACTTCCTTTTGAAGAATCTCTGATTGTGTGTACACCATACTCACTATACCAGTCTAGACACAAAAAGAATGAACCAAGATTACCCAGTTCCAGAAGGACAAACACCAATTTTACTACAGAATCATTTCTAATCTCTCTTCATTATTACTTAACTGAGTACATGCCACCAAATTTAATCAATCAACAAGCATTTATTAAGCACTAACTTTGTGCCAGGGAACCACACTAAGGCTTAAGATAAAAATGAAAAGTCCCTGCCCTCAAGGAGATTACCTTTTATTGGAGGAGACAAAATATACACACATACAAAACACAGACAGGATAACAAATGCCAACATTTTCTGAGTGCTAGTGGGCTTTTATAAGATGTATGAAGACTACCATATTAGACTAGATATACAAGGTCTCTGTCTACATTTATTTACACTTGACTTCCAAATAGACTGCTACAGCAACAATAGCTGAAATTATAAACTAGTTCAAAGATTACTTCCCCCCATCCAAAAAAAAGCACTTAATATACATTATTATCTCATTTACTCCTCAAGAAAACCCTACAAGGTGGTTATTACTTTCTCCACTTTACAGAGGAGGAAAGGGAGACTCAGGGGAGGTTAAACGACTTGCATAACACTGTTAGTGTTAGTCGGATTTGAAAAAGACAAGTTTAATTCGCATTTTAAAAGCATGAGAGAAAACAGCAATAACTTGTAATCTCAGGTGAATCCCCCATAGCTACAAACAGAAATGAAAAATCTTGACTAAAAATTAAAGGACCATCCTTTCCCATCTCACCATTCCCCCATGCCATCTTCCTCTTCCATTTTCAGTACCCTGTATACCCGACCTCTTGAATTCATGTCTCCAGTCCCTAGAGAAGTGAATCCACTCAGCGGTGGAACTCTTCCTGGAGCTGAGCCATCTTGACAGGTGACTGTGATAATCACCTATACTCACTATAACTTACGGCCCTTTAAATTTCCCCCACTCCTTTCCTAAGTCTGACCCAGGACATAATAATCAATTCAAGAGTTCTATTCCTTCCCAAAAACTCATGCCAATTGCCTTCCCTATGGATTCTAACTTCCTTGCCTGGCCACCACACCCCTAGACACAGGAGACCTTGTCTGTCCCCAGTTAAAATGTGGGCTCATCAAGGGCAGGGACTTAGCTCTTAGCACGTGCCTACCACATAGCAGGCAGCTGCTCAGTCTCATACCTGTTGACCTTTTCTTGAAAGAGACATCTAAGCATGCCTATTAGGGCTGTGGACCAGCTAGTTATTAAGAGTTTCCTTGTTCTCATCAAACTGCTTAGTTGACAGGAAGAGGATTCTAGGGAGGTACTCGACTCATTTAATTGGAAACCCACTGGGCAGGGCGTACTCAATTTATAGAATTAAAATACCAGCCTTTCTTGATCGCCTTTTGATGCCAGTACTTTCCCACTAAGATTACCTCCAATTTATGTGTACAAACATATAGGGTAAATGGGAGGTAATCTGATATACACATGTATAATAATATATGCATACGTGTATAATACACATGTATACACATATCGATAATACATAGGTTGCATTTACATAGACACATACGTATATATTCACACACACGGGGCAAACTGGAGGCAATCTGAAATATACGTATACATACATATGTGTGTATATACACATAATTCTACATACATCGTTCGTACACCAGTGTTTTCACGTTGTCTCCCCATTAGACTGTAAGCTCCTCGAGGGCAGGGGCTGTCTTTCACTTTTCCCTATATCCCCAGCACTTAGCACAATGCCTGGCACATCAAAGGCGGTTATAAATGCTTACTGACTGTACACACTTAATGAAATACTAAATCTCAACATCGGGGAAAGCCCAGCCTGGGGAGGACGGGGGAGGAGGAGATGGGGCGGGCTACGGAACCCAAACCGAACTCACCGTCTCCTTATCCATGAGAAGTACTTTCATGCTGGGCCCACTGTCCTCTATCATTTTGGAAATGTACTGCTTCACGGCAAAAACCACGTTCATGTTGGCAAAAGGGAGGTTTTCGCACAGCAGCTGTCTCCCCACCCCCCCTACAAAAAGCAAAGAGCCGGTCTGTTTATTTGGCAGGGTCGCCTTCCTCCCCGGCTAGAGCGTTCGCTTCCGGGCGCGTGATCAGTCTCGAAGACTTCTGGGAGTTGTAGTCCTACGCCAGGCGTTGGCAGGCCACAACCGTCCTTCTATTCCACCCACTGAACCACGTGTTCTCCAGAAGCCAGTGCTTTTTCCTGATCCATTTTAAGGCCCTCTCTCATTCATTCTTTTGCCTGCACTTTTTTGCCCTTCCGGAAGCCAAGTCGGGGATGGGGCGGTGGGGCCTGCTACGTTTAGAAGGGACTTTAGACATAGCTGCAGTCAGCTAGGTGGCAAAGTGGATAGAGCCCCGGGGCCTGGAGTGGATTTCTGATTTCAAATTCGGCCTCAGACTCTAGCTGTGTGACCCTGAGCAAGTCACTGTTTGCCTCAGTTTCCTCATCTGTAAAATGAGCTGGAGAAAATAATGGCAAGCCACTCCAACATCTCTGCCAAGAAAACCCCAAATGGGTCACGTAGAGTCGGACACGACTAAACAGAAGCAGACATGCCGTGGGCCCCGAAGCCAGAGTTTAGGTTTGGGAGGTGGGGGGTCGGGGCAGATAATGAGATTTCCCCACGAGCACGACCCTGCGCCGCTCGCGTTCCAAGGGATGGTGTAGCTAATGAAAATGCAAAGGGCTTTTCTAGGAGGGTCTGCAGCGCAGGGTGGCAGAACCAGCACCAGCCAGCACGAGGGGGCTCCGGATGCCGCCTCTGCTCCCCGGGCTCAGCCACTTGGCGTCTTAGGGCCTGGTTTCCTTATCTGACAAAGGAGGGGATTGAACCGCGTAGATCTGTCAGACTTTAAAGCTCCAGGTTCTGAGCGTCGTTATTGGAGGGATCTGTTTAGAGACCCCAAAGTAGGCGCATTCTGAAAGAATTGGGGACTGACGACATGGGACTTCGGTGCAGAGCCCGGAAGCATAGGCACACACAGGTAAGGGGCCCAAGATGCGAACTGCCCAATGGCCCAGGCTCCCGCGACTGTTTTTCAGAAGCCAGTGGACTCGGGGGGCGGGGCTGGGACGTGAGCGACAGACTATGGGGCGGGGTTTTCTGCCTGAAGGCGGGGCTAGGATGCGAGTTTACTGGGGGCGGAGCCAGGATCAGAGCTCTGACTGCGGCGAGGACGAGACCCCAGCAACCACACTGAGAACGAGGCTGGGACTCGGCCTACCGAACCGGTAGCTGGCCAACTGGAGGCGGGGTTGGGGCGCGAGCTCTCGCTGGGGGCGGGGCTGAGACTCCCAACTGGAGGATTCGGGGGCGGGGCTCGAGAGTGAACTCCTCTACTGGGGGCGGGAATGAGTCAGTCCCGGGCTCTCGTGCTGGGGCTTGGGGGTGGGGTCTGCGCGCGGGATTCGGGGGCGCGGGGACCACAGCTGTCTGACTGAGAAATTCTCGAGTTTCCGAGTGGGAGGGTCGCGCGAGGCCGTGAGGGGTCTCTGGGGAGCGGAGCCACGCGCTGCCTTCTCCCAGGTGCAGAGGCCGGTTAGGATTTGAATTCCGTACCCTGCGCTCTCAACGGCAGTCGGGCTGAGGGGAGACTGGAGGAGCCTAGTCCCGTACGCACTGGAAGGAAAGGGAGTTTATCGGGTCCGAAATGGGTGGGGGTACTCTGCATACCGGGAGGGCGAGGAGGGATTTTTGTTGTTGTTGTTGTTCCTAAAATGGAAGGGGAATCTCACAGATTTTGAATTATGTATTAACAGGGAAACTTTGCAATGGAAACAAATCTTCTAGTGCCCAAAGGCTAAATTGTATGCATTTCTGTGTTTGTACCCCCAGGTCTCCTCTTCACCATGCCATTTCTTGAAAAAGAGGGTAAATGTTTCTCCTTGCTGCATTTGTTTAAGATGAGGTGTGAAATCAAACACGGGCAAAAAAAAATATTTCCCCCTCCCCCAGATATGTATTGTAGTCCTTTACATGCAATTAAGTGGTTTTATATATAGTATCTTGTGACCATGAACACTTGTATGAAATGTATCAAGTGAAGAATTGAACATTAACAGGATGGCAGATGTGGCAATGTTAATTTAAATAAATGCCATTCCTTATGTTATAAGGCTTTATTTTATTTAAGACTGTTCAGATTGTAAATTCTTCCACTGAAACTTATATTACCATCCATTAAACCGTTAGGAACATAATTTAGGAAAATCAGAAACCCCTTAAGAATATCTCTGAATAGGGGCAGCTAGGTGGTGCAGCGTATAGAACATTGGCCCTGAAGTCAGGAGGACCTCAGTTCAAATCCAGCCTCAGACCAAACCCTTGACACTTACTAGCTGTGTGACCCCTGGGCAAGTCGCTTAACCCCATTGCCTAAAAAGGAAAAAAAAAACTGTAAAAAAAAAAGAATATCGCTGAATCGGTACAACTCGAAGTGTGCAAAATTATTAGCAGCTTTTTTCCTCTTTGATTTTTCTCTGTCCATCAAAAATGTTTTGTTCAACAAAACAAAATTTTGTTTTCTGAGATGTCATAGATTAAGAAAAATCTTTAGTAAGATATGTAAATAACAATATTAGGCTAAAAAATCTAATTGGAAAAGGTCTGATCATGGTAGATTAAAATGTGTTTAATATGAAATATTCGTGTATTATAGAAAACAGTGAACCTATGTTGATGAAAAATGAAACACGCCTGCAAATCTTGTAAGTTAAGACTGACCACCTCCAGTGCTAGACATTTTTTTTCTCCCATGAAATTTATCGTATACTATAATATGTAAGATTATTTTGACTTTTTTTAATTTGTAGAAAGAACAAGGAGCAGAGAAAGAGACTTGTTCATGAAATTTGTACTTTTTTAGATAGCAGCCAGTCTGTAAGTAATAAAGTGTCTTGATGGCTATAGTTCAGTTATTTACAAAGTTTTGTGGGGTTGGGAAAAGTGCCTGTTTTCTGTCTCCTACAGTTTTCCATGAAATGACCATTGACCTCAAAGACAATTTTTACATGATAGGGGTATACTAGGGTATAGGCCTTAAATGTTCTAATGGAAATTATAATTATTACAAGTTCAGAGAATGCTGTCATGGTCCCCAACTTTGTCAACCCATTCTCTTCCTGAAAGAAATGTGTAATTTATTTTAAAAAATCTTTTATTAAGATTATATCATATATATGATCATAGATATTGATATAACAATAGATAATGTATGATATAATTATATTAGCTATTGTTATATCTATATCTATTATTATGTATCTATATTATATCAATTATATCTTTTATATCTATTTTAATATCTTTTTATTAATTAAAAATATCAACACTTTCTCTAATAGAACTGAAATTAATGATAAAGTTGGAGTAGAGGGAGGGAAAAGGAAGAGAATAAGCATTTGTATCATGCCTACTATATACCAGGCACTGTGCTAAGCACTTTTGACAAATATTTCATTTGAGCTTCACAGTAACCCTAAGAGGCAGATGCTATTTTTATCTCCATTTTACAGTTCAGTGATTCATTCAAAATAAACTCAGGTTACTTGTTTTAGTTGTAAATGTGATAGTTACTTCATCTTGCCTTTAGACTTGATTGTTTCTTTTCAAAGTAAATTAATAAACAAAGTTATAACTAAATTTTGGAATAATTTAGATAATACTTTTAGGCAGTTAAAAAGTGTTAGCTTACATTTATGTATCATTACATCAGTAACAAAAGTTTCCAATATAGTTACCTGAAAATTTTTTTTCATTAGGTCCAAGAAATTGATGCTTTAAGGACAGAAAACAGGAAATTAAAAAATGCGGTATTTATATTTGTGTATTTTCTTTAAACTTGTAAATATCATGCATATGAATGAATAAATTAGAACATGATTACTTGAAAATTTTTCATTTTTTTCCATCGTATATACCTTTTTTTTACAGGATTTAATTACCCATTTTGTATTTATTCAAAATCATCTTTCTTTCCATTAGAACTCAAGGCTTCGATATAAGACAAAGGGTATGTAATCTGAAATGAAAATACATATTTCTCATTGGAATTAGATAATATAGCGATTTCTTGGTTACTCAAGTGTTGATTGACTAGTTTATGCATTCTACCAACTCTGCTTCTGTTTAAATCTTTACTTAAAGAACCAAACTGTACAGCAGTAGAGCAAAAGTGAAACTTAAGCCAGCCAGTTTTCTCCTTATGAACAACTCTAGAAAAATAATTGGAGTAGGAATTAAATAAATTAATGTATAAATCTTTCAGAGCTAAGAATTTTGTGCCAATTTTGGTCCCTGTTAACAGGAAATATGAGAGGTGACTACTTATAGTGTACTATAATTTCTAAAAATCTCTTTAGTCACTATAATCACTTCATCTCACATCAATTTATATTTGTAATCTTTTGAAATAAATGAAAAGGTATGATTTTCCTTGTCATAGTGTTTGATGTATGTACAATTTTGAAAAGATAGATGTATCCCAGAAGAATATATTCCAAAGTGATTTTTGAAAGCTAATTCACTATGATAAGAAACAGAAAGACTTTGACCATGTCGTTTACTTATTGATGACATCTACAAAAGGTTCAGTGGAAGAATGTACTGCTTGAGGGACACTTACGCACATAGGACTTGGCACTGGGAATCAAACACTCAGTAGTATAGATCAAATCAATCAATGAGCATTCATTAAGTGCCTACTAAGTACTAGATGCAGTGGACACAAAGGCCCAAAAATTAAACAATCCCTACTATCAATGAACTGAGTTCTATCATTAAATACATACAGAATAAGTGTGTGTAGATTAAATACAAAATAAATATAAGGTTAAAGTCAAAATTAGGAAGGGGACTTCCTAGCATTTGGAATCAGGGAAGGCTTTGTGTACCTGAGCTGTGTCTTGAAGGGAAAGAGAGATTCTGTGAGGCAGAAATAAGAGGGGAAGGTATTCCAGGCATGGGGGTTGATACAAAGACATGAAGATGGGAAATCAAGTGTGTGTAGCAAAGAGGAGGCCAGTTTGGTTAAACTGGAGAGTGCCGAATGGGAAGTTTTATATAAAGCTATACATCCAACGAAA